ATGCTACTAAACAAAATAAAATCTATTAACACTTTAAAGACATTAAAGTATTTAAGATATTTAAAAATGTTTGCTGGATTGTTAAAAACAGTACTTGTATAAGATTGCGTTTTGAGAGTGAAAAAAAAGTCGCGTATAGGCTCACGTTGCATTTTATTAGCCCCATTACATTCAGAAATAATGTAGGCTAAAATGCTGGTAGGCTAACGCAAAGTGTTTACAAAGATTATAAACACTGTTTCTGTTTCTCTCCACAACAAATCCTCTAATGTTAAGGCTATGCACTTAGGCTATAAAAAAAGTCAATCCAAAAACAAATTAATTTAAGATGAAACTGATGCCTACCTCTCTTATTCGTCACAAATCCAAATGTTTACATATTTGCAACGTATCTAGATAAAATATTATTTATTATAGGCTAGGCTTTGTACTTTCATCAATGTAAAACATCATCCTTCACATCGGCTATATCAGCACAGTGAGGTGGTGGTCATTCAAAACTGTAAAGCTTTTGCAAAAAAAAGAAAACTACTTTCTGCTGTCTCGTTTTGCTTTCCGAGAACTTTGGAACATGTCACAGTGAGCTCACTTTTTTTTTTCTTTCGTTTTGTTAATCTGTCAATGATTTAAGTTAAATATATTTTGTGTATAATGCCTTTATATTTATTTTTATGTAAGCCTATAGTTTCGTTCTGTTTTCTCTGTTCACAGAAGTGCTGCAGGTGCGTTTGATCTGTTGAATCCTCCTTACACTATCCTCGGATAAACTCTTAACACCTTTGCATTGCCATTGCGTCTTCCCTGTGATAAGTTCACAGCTGAGCATGGGCCTTTCACTAGTTGGACGCGTCAGCTCACATTTGCATAGGCCGTACTACTGGAATTCGTGATTGGTTGACGGCAAATTTCAAATATTAAATGGAATGATAAAAATAACGTTATTAACTGGTTAATGGCCATTTCAAATTTTCAATTCTGTTCGGAACTATAAAATTTGATTGTTTCTGGTTCTGTTCCTGTCAATTTTGTTTGTTTCCAGCTTTCGTTTTCGTTCCTTGAACCAGTTCAGAGCCCTGCTACTAATAAAATAATCATTATTAATTTAACTTACAATGGTAGTAATTACATATAATTATTGTTGTTCAACCTATTGTCCAGTACTATATTACATAAAATATCTGATATTGTTATTATATCATGTATTTTATATTATATAATGTATTTTGTTATGTATACAATGCATTCATTCTTATGATTATTTAATTTATTGTCTAATAATTTTATATTTAATAATTATGTTTGGATGGTTGTTAATAATAACTGTTGTTGTGTGCTAGTAGTTATTACAAATAGCATCAGGCGGATGATACACGGGGCAACTTTTTGACCAATTTTGCTTGAGCACTTTCCCATTGAGAATGGGCAATACATTTCTGTCTTTAGATTGTTAATGGGCCCTGTCTCTCACCTGGTTGCCCATTACCAGAAGTTGCCCGGCAACATTGCTCAAAGTTGCCCTTCGTATCATCAGCCTTAATAACTTACTAACAATTTTGCATTGTCAACACAGACGCACTCTGTTAATGGCAGTATTGACAAGTATGAGATCAAGAACACCCCCAACAAGACCACGCTGTACGTGAAAGATCTGGACATCAGCAAAGACATGGGCATGTACCAGTGCCAGGGCACCAATGAAATAGGATCAGCCAGTGATAAGATTCAGCTGCGTGTGCGTAGCCAACTGGCCGCCCTTTGGCCATTCCTCGGCATTGTCGCTGAGGTCATTATTCTCATCACCATCATCTTCATCTACGAGAAGAGGAGAAAGCCTGACGAGATCAATGATGGTATGTGACGCTAGTTGTTTCCGTCGTAATGATGTTTCATTTCCATTTTCGTGAATGTACAAATGAATGATCAGTGGATGTAATTTTACGTTTTTTGTTTATGAATTCGTAATGGTGCAAGATCCTATTTCAGTTTGATTTTGTATGTTTATTTTATTTGGCTGAAGTGTGTGGCTGTTCCTTAGCGGAGTCTATTTTTATTATTTACGTTGTTTATTTCTCTGTTCGCTGCTGCTTTTACGTTGTGGTAAGTGCTCAAAACTGCATGTCAGACTGAAGTGGATTTGCTTAAACGGGTGGTTTTGGGAGTTTGAATGCTCTCCCTGATAGGCTGAGAAGTACAACTCTTTCACTGGTGTTTTGTCTTATATAAGAAGATAAAACGAACCAGATTTGTCAGACTTAAGTTCAAGAAAAGCAACTTTATTGGTTTTCCCGTAGCCAGTGAAAGCGTTTAGCTGAGTCTGACATATTGCACTTAAGAATGGGTTTTAAATGTCAAGGTATTATGCATAATAACTAAGATGACATTTCAGACGGATCATGTTATACTTTCTTGCATGCTCTCTGCATCTTCTCATTGCATGATGTTCTTCAGCCCTAGATTATACGTCTCTGAGAGGCGGCACCCTTATGGCACAAAGGGTGGCAAAATATAGAATCCCAACTTTATTACATAGACAGTTTTCATCTTTCTGAGTGTGTTTGGACATGCTCTCTGCATGAAAACTTCAGCAAAAGTCTCTTTCAAACTCAGATTCAGCTTCTTGTTTTTTTAAAGTATATGTTTGTTGGGTGTAGGGTTGCAAAGGGGTGGAAAATTTCTGGAAATTTCCAAAAATCCCTGGAAGATTACACAAAATCCTGGGAAGTTTCCAAAAGTTCTGGAATGTTTCTGAAATTTAATGGAGATTTTCCAAGTTTTTGCAACCCTAGTTGGGTGTTAACTCGCATTTTATTTAAAGTTTCTTTCTGATTGTGTCTGTCTGAAGCACAACCTTGCCAGTAACCGGAAAATTTCATTTGATTAAAAATCAGTAATTTTCTAAAATTATTTATGTACTTTGAATATGAATATATATTTAATGAACATTTATAGATCAATTATAAATCTTTAAAATGCTTATATATTATAAAT